CCGCAGAACTGCTGCCTAGCCATTTGGTCCCTAGTCTGTAGCAGTGCATTGGGTTCTTCCGTCGTAAGTGCAGGAGTCTGCACTTATCCTTATTGAACCTCATCAGATTTCTTTTGGCCCAATCCTCCAATTTGTCTAGGTCCCTCTGTATCTTATTCCTGCCCTCCAGCGTATCTACCACTCCTCCATGCATGACTGAGTTCCTTACCAGCCAAGCCACATTCCTGGAAAAGCTCAGATGTGGATTGGCATCTCCAAGTTCATTGTTGGCTTAAGGGTTTCTTGATTGGGCACTTACTGAGAATAGTCTTTTCTCAGGAAGCTGACCAACTGCTTCACTAAAACCTACTTAGAATCAGACAAGTATACAGCCAATATTCATAACTTCGAATACAAAAATGGTACATGCATACAAATAGGATTAATAGATTCAGTAGATCATAACCTCAACAGGGATGTGTTACATGGTATATGTAGCATAAAACATACTCCAGTTATATCATATATATATATACATTCATAAGCATATTTCCATAAAGCCTTATGCGGGACACCGTCACACTCATAAATTGTTCACCCTCTATAACAATGAGAGAGAGATATGCACAGCTGTTTGCCCCCCCCCCCGGTATTAATAGATACTCTGTCTGAATTAATAAGTAAAAAGTGATTTTAGTAAATACAAAAAGTAGGATTTAAGTGGTTCCAAGAAGTAATAGACAGAACAAAGTAAATTACCAAACAAAATAAAATAAAACACACAAGTCTATGCCTAATACAGTAAGAAAGTGATTACAGATGAAACCTCACCCTCAGAGATGTCCCAGTAAGCTTCTTTTACAGACTAGTCTCCTTCTAGTCTGGGTCCAGCAATCACTCACACTACTGTGGTTACTATCCTTTGTTCCAGTCTCTTTCAGGTAACCTTTGATGGGGGAGAGGCTATCTCTTCAGCCAGCTGAAGACAAAATGGAGGGGTCTCCCAGGGGTTTAAATAGGCTTTCTCTTGTGGGTGGATACCCCTCCCTCCCCCTGTGTAGAATCCCAGCTATAAGATGGAGTTTTGGAGTCACATGGGCAAGTCACATTTCCATGTATGACTCAACTTATAGGTAGCAGCCATTGTTCACATGCTACCTTGAATGTCCTCAGGTAGACTTCTTATGTGGATTGGAGTCTTCCAAGATCCATTGTCTGTTAAGTGTTTCTTGATTGGGCACTTAACTGGCAAATTCCTTTCTAAAGAAGTTGACCAAATGCCTTACTTAGGCTACTTAAAATCAAACAAGTACACAGCCAATATTCATAACTTCAAATACAAAAATGATACATGCATACAAATAGGATGAATATATTCAGTAGATCATAACCTTTGTAGAGATATGTTACATGGCATATCTAGCATAAAACATATTCCGGTTATGTCATATTCACTTTCATAAGCATATTTCCATAAATCATTATGGGGTGCAACATCACAGTCCCATAATAAAAAAATCTCTCAGTATGTGTATGCCCAGATGCTAGTACAATGGGCCCTTGTCCTGGGGATGTTCCAGATGGAAATAGAAATTGATGGAGTGTGGTGTTTTCTCTAATGAAGTCTTGTTTCAGTACAAGGAATGAATAAATGAAGCTTATCCAAATGCAGGAGGAACCAAGAGCAAAAGGAGCAGTTTCTTAGCTTACAGGCCCAAGCCTCTTTAGCCAACAGACCCAACGGCTCTCTCTAGCTTTATCCAGGATCATGCTCTGCTCACCAGCTGCTGCTTGGCTTTCTTGCTTTTTACCTCTGTCTCTCTCTCTGTTCTTGTCCAGTCTCAGTTTGTGTGCAATGTATATAGATAGATACACACGTCCATACACACACCTCACAGCAATTCCCTGGCCCACTCAGTTCAAACTCCTGTGCAGGTTCACAACCTCCTTTTGTGTTACATGGGGCAGGGGGAATCTTCTGATTAATTCATCCTGACAGATGAATCTAAGTTTATACACTTGCTGTGTGGTTAGCACTAATTAAAGGCTGCGTTCACATCCTGTCTCAAAGACATTTGTGATTCCTGCACTCACCAGTACCTGTCAGCATAACATTATTAAATGTTTGCCCATGTGCAAGAAACACTCCACAGAACATGAAAGTGAGTGAGCAGGGAGAAAAGAAGAAAGTACTAATGCCACATGTTCTGCAGAGCAGAGGGATAGCTCAGTGGTTTGAGCATGGGCCTGCTAAACCCAGGGTTGTGAGTTCAACCCTTGAGGGGGCCATTTAGGGATCAGGGGCAAAAATTGGGGATTGGTCCTGCTTTGAGCAGCAGGTTGGACTAGATGACCTCCTGAGGTCCCTTCCAACCCTGATATTCTATGATTCTATGACAGAGATACATAAAGGAAGCTGTCTTGCTCTTCTCTGCACTGCACGAATACTGCCTGCTATTCCAAAACTGTCCCAACATGATCTGGGCTCAAGATAAAGTCTTTGAGTTAGTCAGGTCAGTCCTTTCTCTGCTTGTTCCAAAATCGAGGCAACGTGCGCAGAGCATTGCCTTGTCCTGTCATGTTCAGAATATAATCTACCTCTCTGTGCCTCAGCCTACCTATCACTATAATGGGGTAATGATTTCAACCCATCTTTTGTAGGCTGATTTTAAGTCCTCAGATGACAATTCATGTATAAGTGGAGGCTGTTACTATTGTATGACAATTTGCATTAATTAAATAACTTCCTTGGCTGAACAATCCTTAACTCTACATTGTGAGTTAATGATGGACTGTTCCATTGTAACTGCTTATGAGGCTGTTGGGTGCTGTGGGGTATATATCTCACATCGCCTTGTGACCTTGTTTTGAGTGGCTTATGGGTGAAGAGGAATTTAACTCATACTGCATAGCCAGCTGTTGTTTTGCCTGTTACAGAGGAGACACGCTGCTCTTTGGAGACTTTGTTTGCTCTTTCTTGTTTATCTTACTTTTAAAACAAAAGCCATTCAGATGGAAAGTGTGTGGTGCTTCTGTGGGGTGGGGAATCCTGAGATGATAGGAGACTTCAAATATGGCAAAGGAGAGCAGTTAGCAGAGAAGAGGAGCAGGAATAGTTGAATGTGTTTTTAAATGCAGACTGCTTGTAGAAGCATTTTATGATTGCTTTATAATGGTTTATACACTTGCTGTGTGGTTAGCACTAATTAAAGTATAGGGTTCCTCTATCACACTCTGATCATCATCTGACTTAGATTTTCAGACCGTCTGACTTAGATTTTCAGTTCTACTTCCAGAGCTGTATCTATAACTGCATTAATGGTAACCTCAGAACAATTTAATAAACACAGAGAATATGGGTTCTTCCCGGTCTGAAACCCAGCTCTGCAGGAGCAAATGGAAATCTGCTTGGGAAGACTCAAGTACATATGTTACAGTTTGCCTGCAGTAAGCACAGAAAAGAGCCGAGATCGCTGAAGGTCGGTATGCTTTCTGACTGGCTATCTAAAACCAAATGATGTTCAATAATGATGATAGTCATTACAGAGTGCTGCACAGATGTGGCTTTCAAAGCACCTTACAAAAGTGATGAAGCACAATCCCTGTTTGACAGATTGGGAAACTGATGCAATGGAGAGATTAAGTGACTTGTCCATCGTCACTGGGCAAACTAGTGGCAGTCAAGTCTAGAACTTAAGTCTCTAGCTCTGTGCTTGGGCCATTAGACTCCTGGCTGTGTTTCAGAGGCCTTTAAACATTCAAATGTGGCTGGATATATGTGTCATAAAACTATAGTTAAGAGGTAACATCAATAGAATGGGGTATTGTCACAGGATAACTCTTCTCTGGAGGCTACATCAAAGTCAGGGGACCTGTGGGACATGTAACATGAAGCAGGAATGGTTTTCAAACTGAGAGGCTTTCGAGCCTCACATAGAATTCCATTAAAACTAAGGATGCATGAACCAAGGTTTCATCCAAAACTCTTCCTGAACCTTTATTAAGGTTTCGAAAAGTTCTTAAAACACTTCCTCCCTGCCCCCCAAGTGCATTTTGTGGTATTTCTGTCCCAGCTCTGGGAACTTTTGTGAGCAACTCATACTGAATTGTAGACTGTGTGCCCCCAGATTGTTCACAAACATCTGAATGTTTGGTTGCCATCCCTACTCAAATCCTCCAGCTGCTGTTGCCTAATGAAATTAACACAGGACTGGGAGTCAGCATTTGGGGATGACTCTGACATTGAGTCTGGCTGGGACCTTAGGAGCATCACCTAGCCTCTCTGACCCCATTCCTCTAAACATTCCCCAGTGCTTTGTCCAGACTATGTGAGGACTAGGTCTCTAATTACCTCCCTCAGCAGCCTCTTTCACAGCCATCAGACTACATCCTGCTCACATTAAAGTCAATGACAAAAGGCTCATCGACTTCAGTGCTGGCAAGATTGGGCTCATTGTTAAGCAACTTGACTTTATATTCAACCTAAACTTTCCTCTGCTTAATTAGAACCCATTACTCCTAGTTATTTTGCCTTGGTCCACCCTAAACAATTCCCCTTCTCTTTCCTGGCTGTGGTATTTACTCCTGTCAAACATGTTTTACATGATGATCAGTCTCTCTGAGTCACTGAGCCAAGCTATGCATATTGAGTGTCTTTTAATCTTTGCTCATACATCAGCCCTTCCAGCCCCTCTGTCATTTGGTTGCTCTTCCTTTTGTAATACGGATCCTTTCCCATTAGTAGAATATATTTAAACTACTATGTAAAATCTGCCTAGCATCCCCCTGGGCTGCTCCGCAGAAGGCAAGCTTTTTGTAGGCATGGCTAAGATATTGACACAAGTGGGCAAACGATGGGGAATAAAAAATATACTTTCTCCTTGAGGCTGGAAGAACACAACTGCAGAATTCTCCTCTAGCTTCTCTAGGCACAGCATGTCATTACATTTGATTTTCCTAAGTCTTCGCTCCTCCTTTATGTAATGAATATATTTTGAGTGGCTTTATTTCTCTCTTTTCAGTAAGTTTCCTAGTGTTATCCCAGCCTGCGATCCCACCATCCCCAACCATCTTTATCACACCTGCATGGCTCCTATATCTGTAAGTATCTGTCGAGATTCCATCTTTGGATGAGGCTGGGGTTTGTGCAGCCTTCTGAGGGAAGTCACATCCGTTTGTCTGTATCGTTGAGGCAGTAATTACTGGGGGATGGGGGAGCTTCTCCGGCCGGGACCATGCAGAAGGTCAGATGATCATCAAGGGCCCTTCTGGCCTTAATCTGTGAGCCGTGCTCATGAGTGTGATACGAGTGCCTGAGGTTTAACTCAGCAGAGCTATCAATCAAGCACCTCTTTAGGTGCTGAAAGTCCCTAGCTTATCAGAAGAACAGATGCTCTGCTGCAGCCTGTACTTCACGTTTCCACTTGCTGCCCAATGGGTCGCTTTTAGTGTAATTTGCTCCCTGTGTCCCACTCAGCCTTTGGCCCCTCTTCAGAGGTTCCCAGGAAGCATGCCAATAACAGTAGTAGTTTTGCAAAATAGACGCCTGTTCACTAGAACTCCACTGAAATCCTCTTTGCCCGCAACTCACTTGGCACTAATTGGTAATGACATTTGGTCACCACCACCCGAAGTTTGGAATAGTTGGGAGAAAGACCCAAATGACTGGGTACTCCCCTGGACCTCTCTGGAGTTCCCCAATCGCTGATCATGCTTCCCTTCAACAGAGAGAATTAGAAATTCATGCTAGGGCCTAGGTGGCCCTAGCAGAAGCTGATTGAGCCTGTATATCCACAAGGTTGGGTAGAGCCACCCAGCGCAGAGACGAATCTGGTGTCCTGGAAACGGGATTATTATCACAAAAGACAACGCATCTCAGGTGAAACCACTGGAGTGATGGAGGAAGGAAGAGAGGTTACAAGGAATAGGGTGGCAAGAGACTGTATTGACCCACTTTGTTCTATATCTGTTCAAATACTGGGGTGTAGATAAGGGCCAGATCCTCAGCTAGTGTGTATAAATCAGCCTGCCTCCGGTACAGTCAATGGGAGCTACAGACGTACATCAGCTGAGGCTCTAGCTCCCTTTCTTGTTCTTTGGTTCATTCCGTGCCACACGAACGGTGTTCCTGCCCTTTATTCTATTGCTTCACCAACCTGCATGTGGGAGCTGCAAGCCCTCTCAGGCAGGGACTGATTTATTGCCCACTGTTGATTCCCTGTTACTTAGACCTATAAGCATCTCTCTGTTTGGCACCTTCTTGCACAGCAGCATACCTCACTGGGTATCCGATATCCCCATACATCCACCCATGAGGCCAGAGTTTAAAGAGATGGGGCCAGGGGTTTGCACCCTCATAGGTATTTTTACTGTTTTGATTATTTGTCATTGGCTCTCTTTGCAGCTAGCCGTGCTGATAGTCTTGTCTCTGTTGGTGAAACGCAAGAGCCTCTATAAATGCTGTTGGAATGGAGCACCTGGACTGCTGAGGTACCCAGAATAACCCCATATCCACACCTCTGCACTCATCTAACAAAACTGCTCCCTTGGCTGAGGTTTACATTTGTTTTCATGTGACTCTGCACTCCCTGATGCTGTTCAGACTGGAATTGCTGAAATCTCTTAATGACCCCGATTCCTCAACTGTCTCTGATTTTGCCATCCAAAATTATTATGAGCACAGTTTTGTGGGTGCACCTGTTAGCCCTTGGTATATCTAGTGTTCTGATTTGCAGAGAGTCGGCTGTTGGGTAGCTTGGCACCTTGGCACTTTACAGCATGGCATGTAACTAGGCTAGGAGGTGAAATGGCAGGTGTAGAATTCAAGGCTGCATTTCAAACCCCAGGCTAGAGGCAGGAAGGGCTGGATCAGGCTCTTTCTGGTCAAAATTTTCAGCTGTCTCCAAGTTCACGATAAGAATCTTAAAGCTTGGGAGCATTATCTAACCTAACCTGAACCTTCTTCTCTTTACTGCTTTCATGGCTTTCCCCCCTTCCACTCCTCTTCCCCCAGCAGGCTGACCTAAGAGCATGGGGCAGCTTTTCTTTTGACAAACTAAGAGCTATGACCAGGATGGTTGCTTCTGAGTCACTCTGCCATTCATGTGGCAACCCTGATGGCTAGCCTGATGGTCTAGGCCAACACTGTTCCGGTCAGATGGCTGCAGACTAGACTAAAATCAAACTGAAGAGAGGCCTATGCTCCCAAGGAAACCCTGCTGTGCACATCTTTGTGCAAAACAATGATGTTGCCATTCTCCTCCCAGCAGCGGGGGTTGACTGTGATACCAGAAGACTAAACAATCTATCCCCAGTCACAGAAAATTTGAAATTCAGTCAGTAACTGGAACCCTTCCCACTGGTATCCTCCTCCAGGATCCCAGACCTTTGCTCACACTGTTATGCCAGGTGACTCTGGGAGCTTTGCTACCAGCTGACCTTGATATCTGTGTTCTAGAACTTGGAGTAGGGGGAGGGCATCTGATCTGCCATTAAATAGGGGGTATGGAGTGACTTGGGCAATTATTTAGAAACTCTAGTGCAGTAGACATCCCCTTGTCCTTTGACTACTTCCACCTGTTCATCATTCCTTACTGTTATCTCTAATATCATAGAAGATTAGGGCTGGAAGAGACCACAGGAGGTCATCCAGTCCAATCCCCTGCTCAAAGCAGGACCAACACCAACTAAATCATCCCAGCCAGGGCTTTGTTAAACCGGGCCTTAAAAACCTCTAAGGAAGGAGATTCCACCACCTCCCTAGGTAACCCATTCCAGTACTTCACCACCTTCCTAGTGAAATAGTTTTTCCTAACTAGTTTTTCCAACCTAGACCTCCCCCACTGCAACTTGAGACCATTACTCCTTGTTTTGTCATCTGCCACCACTGACAACAGCCTAGCTCCATCCTCTTTGGAACCCCCCTTCAGGTAGTTGAAGGCTGCTATCAAATCCCCCTCACTCTTCTCTTCTGCAGACTAAATAACCCCAGTTCCCGCAGCTTCTCCTCATGTGTCATGTGCCCCAGCCCCCTAATCATTTTCATTGTCCTCTGCTGGACTCTCTCCAATTTGTCCACATCCTTTCTGTCTTGGGGGGCCCAAAACTGGACACAATACTCCAGGTGTGGCCTCACCAGTGCTGCATAGAGGAGAATAATCACTTCCCTCAGTCTGCTGGCAATGCTCCTACTAATGCAGCCCAATATGCCTTTAGCCTTCTTGGCAACAAGGGCTCACTGCTGACTCATATCCAGCTTCTTGTCCACTGTAATCCCCAGGTCCTTTTCTGCAGAACTGCTGCTTAGCCAGTTGGTCCCCAGCCTGGAGCAGTGCATGGGATTCTTCCATCCTAAGTTCAGGACTCTGCACTTGTCCTTGTTGAATCTCATCTGATGACTTTTGGCTCAATCCTCCAATTAGTCTAGGTCATTCTGGACCCTATCCCTACCCTCCATCATATTTACCTCTCCCCACATCTTAGTGTCATCTGCAAACTTGCTGAGGGTGCAGTCCATCCCATCATCCAGATCATGAATGAAGATATTGAACAAAACTGGCCCCAGGACTGACCCCTGGGGCACTCTGCTTGATACTGGCTGCCAACTAGACATCGAGTTGTTGATCACTACCTGTTGAGCCCGATGATCTAACCAGCTTTCTTATAGTCCAATCATCCAATCCATACTTCTTTAACTTGCTGGCAAGAATACTGTGGGAGACCGTATCAAAAGCTTTGCTAAAGTCAAGGTATATCACATGCACTGCTTTCCCCATATCCACAGAGCCATATGGATCATGAATTCCCATGATCTCACCTTTTAGTCTATAAATCACCATGCATGTCTTTGGGACAGTAGAAATAAGAATTTTCCATCCCTGAGAGAGGTTGCAGCTCCATGTTCCCTGCAAATGTGACAGGGACACTCAGCAATGACCGTGAAGAACCACCTGAGTCCTTAGGGCAGCTCAGAGAAGCCCAGGGTATGGCTGTGCCAGGGTCAGGTTGGGGATCAGTTTCTTCCAGCTAAACAGAGGATATGGGGGACCCATCCAGATATCTTGGTGATGAGCCATGCTGGCAAATGGGACAGACAGGTACATCCCACTGGCCATTCAATGGGGGCTTTGTGGTAACTCCCCTATCCCAGCTGTTGTATGATGCACCTAGTGGTTACCCTTTGTGGCAGAGACAGGTGGATGTGGTGCCCCAAACCACTGTGCCCTTCTCTCTCAAGCTGTCTGCAGTGGAGGGAAGGGTGATCTCCATGGGGAGGTGGGGGTAAGGAGCACCCTGTCTATTCTCATTCTTCCCCCCACCCCCCTTGATTGTTGCAGCCCTGTGAATTTCTTGGAGGCAGAGGGCCACCAGGGGCTTGTGGCAGCAGTGTTTGGAATCCTCTTCTCTTCTGTTTGTGTGCTGGTGCTGGATACCGACCCCCTGCCTTTCATTGCCAGCTCCTCCCCACGCAGTCGAGGTAATGCAGGTGGTGCTGGGTCTTCCCTTTCTGAAGTTTGCGGGTGTTTTGCTGTTTCAATCCATTGGGCCCCTCAGAAGCCAGGGCTGTCCCCACAGGCTGTCCCAGGTGGGCACAGGGATCTCATTCAGACCCAGTGCAGGCTTTCCCCTAACTGGGTGACACCCTGAATAACTGTCTTCATTTTTTGGCTACCTTTCCCCACATGCATACATTTGTTTGTTTTAACATTTAAAATGTGTTGGGCCTCCCCTGGCCCTTCCCCAGGCAATGTTTGGCCAATCTATTGCATGTCCTCTTGCACACAGATCAGTGCAAATATACTCCAGATTTTCAGACAGCATGTGCTACTGCTAACAATGGACTATTTTACAACTGGGGGAGCGGGGAAAGGGACTGCAGCTCCAGCAGGGATGGGCAGGGCTCCGTTGAAAAAGCCAGTGCTGTTGTGACTTGGGCAAAACTTTGTGAAGCAGCCTTGTGCTCTGTCAGGCCCTGCCTAGTACTGCTGTTCCATGGCTTGCATTAATACTGGTGGGGCCTGCCATAGAGGCACTGGGAAGCCAGAGCTCCAGTTGATGTGAATGGGAGCTGCAGATGCTGAGCTCCTCTGAACTGAACCAGACAAAACCAACTGGGGCTGGAGGGGAAGCGCCTTGATCTAAAAAGTGACGGTTCATCTGAGCTTCATATGGCAAAGTGGAGGCATCCTGGCAGTTAAACTCTGCTAAGCGGAGGCAGCACCCTAAGGTCTCATCCAGTGAGCATTTTGCATGGGGCAGGCTGATGGGAAGCCCTCATGTGATGGTGGTGCCAAGGGGAAGAGAGGTGCCATGGCTGGCTGTCCCTGCATGCCATTAGCATGGACTGGATTTCCAGTCTCCAGCTTTGGGTGGCTTAATGTCTCCTCTTAAGCCAATATGCAAGTCAAGGGCATCACTTTGCCTATTAATCCTTGTACTGAGAGCTCTGCAATTTTGTTTTTTCTCTCTCCCCACCCCTTTGTCTAGAGTACTGGAAGATCATGGCTTTGCTCTATTACCCTGCCTTCTATTATCCTTTAATTGCATGCGCCACAATCAGACACCGAGCCGGGTACTTCGTAGGCTGCTTGCTCTCCTGGTGCCACTGTGTGGTCCATATCTGGCAGAAAGTGGACTGCCCTCAGTCGTCCAAGGTAAATGCAAATGAGATGCATAACATGGATATTGTTCTTCCTTCCTGGTCATATCAGCTACTAAAGACATCTCCAGGTAAGTGGAAAGGGAGCGGGGATGAATGGCTGGTGCTTGGAACTGGGAGAGACACTTTCACGGAGAAGCCTCAAGTCAGGCTCTTCTTGAGCCTAAGGTGTGGATAACTGTAGTGTAGGCCACATCGGAGCAGAGCCCTTGCAATCTCCTAACCTAATGCAGATGGAATAAGGCTTTTGGCTACTGCTGCATTCTGGGCACCTGCAGGCATCTGAGGAATCCTAAACTGTGAATCTGAACTCTTTGGATGGAGGGGCAACAGGAGCAGGAAGTTGTAGGTCACAGTACATAGAATAGTACGTACAGGCTTGTGCTGAAGTATGAAGTGATAATCACACTTAGCAACTGTCCTCTTCTCCCCAGATTTACAGGTATTATTCCCTACTATCTTATGTTCCTATTATCCTCTGCCTCATAGTCCTGAGCATTTGGTATCCAGTACTGCTTGTCAGGAGCTTCACACAGGAGAAACAGACTGCTAGAGAGGTAATGCACTGCAGCTTCCTTTCAAATCCATGCTGTGTTGACTCCGCTAAGGGCATTGTGTAGAAAACATAAATTTTGCCCCTTTTATGTTAGTTCCACTCCTCTGCAACAGTTATGTACTAGTTATTGGTTCAAATTTTGATCGTGTGTGTGAGCTAATTAATTAGTGAATAAGACTTTAGTGTCTGTAATCAGAGCTGAAGATGTGCCCAGCAGAGCAGATGTGGCTATAGAAGAGACACAAAATGTGGCATGAATCAGACAACTTTCAAGAAATATGCCATTCTCTGTATTTTATGTCTTTTAAAACACATTTTGGAGTGTATTGTCTTATTGTCATGGAAACTGATCAGTTTTGCAATACTTTAAATGCCATGTGTATTAATTTTTTTCCTTAATAGCAGGTCTCTCCTATTTTTATGTGTGAAATAGATCATCCCCATTTTGTAGTGAAAATGCCTGAGGTACTGATCTTGGTTCTCTGAAATCCATGGTCACTAAATGCTTTTGACTGGTCATCGCTCTGCCAGATGGTTTTCTCATATTGTTTCCACATCTGTCTGGCCTTCTACTTAGAGCTTGTCTACAGGGAAATTTACCTGCAGTAAAAACAAGGAGTCCTTGTGGCACCTTAGAGACTAACAAATGTATTTGGGCATAAGCTTTTGTGGGCTAGAACCTACTTCATCAGATGCATGGAGTGGAAAATACAGTAGCAGGTGTATATATATACATAGTACATGAAAAGATGGGAGTTGCCTTACCAAGTGGGGGGTCAGTCTAATGAGACAATTCAATTAACAGTAGAATACCAAGGGAGGAAAAATCATTTTTGTAGTGATAATGAGGGTGGCCCATTTCAAACAGTTGACAAGAAAGTGTAACAGTACGGGGAAATTAGTATGGTAAAATCAGTTTTTGTAATGACCCATCCACTCCCAGTCTTTATTCGGGCCTAATTTCATGGTGTCCAGTTTGCAAATTAATTCCAGTTCTGCAGTTTCACACTGGAGTCTGTTTTTGAAGTTATTTTGTTGAAGAATTGCTACTTTTAAATCTGTTATTGAGTGACCAGGGAGGTTGAAGTGTTCTCCTACTAGTTTTTGAATGTTATAATTCCTAATGTCAGATTTGTGTCCATTTATTCTTTTGCGTAGAGACTGTCCAGTTTGGCCAATGTACATGGCAGAGGGGCATTGCTGGAACATGATGGCATATATCATCACTACCTGCAGTAGTTCCCTTTGTGGACGCTTTCTTGCTCCTGAATAGCTACTGTGTGACTTTTTAAAATTCACACCCCATCCTAATCCAAAATAACTTTCAAGTGTAGATAAGCCTTTAGGGTCGAATGGGGCCACCCAAGTTCTCTAATTGTAAGGCACACTTTCCGCATCCAACTTTGCACACTGGGATGATTGTCTGTGTGCACAAACCCCTTGTCTGTGCATGTAAGTCAGTTTCCTCACTTCCCAAGTGCGTCACTTGCTTACATGGCTATTTACGTCTGTATCTTGTCTGCAGGCTTAATCAGCTGAGCAGATAGAAATGGCTGGGTGAAAACCAGAGGCAGGCTCTGCAAAGCTGGCCCTGAGTGTTTCTGTAGGGTTAGGCTTCAGGAACTGACTTAACTAAACACTAAGCTGTGAACAGAGCCTCTACTGCAGGTTTTCTCAATCTTCATTGCATCGCAACCCCCTTCTGACAACAATAATTACTACACGACCCCAGGAAGGGGGACCAAAGCCCACGCCCTGCTGCCCCGGGCTCAGGGGCCAAAGCCCAAGCCCTGCCGCCCTGCGGGGCACTGAAACTTGAGGGCTTTAGCCTTGGGTGGCAGAGCTTAGACTTTGGTTTCAGCCCTAAACCCCAGCAAGCCTAATGCCAGCCCTGGCGATCCCATTAAAACTGGGTTGCAACCCACTTTGGTGTCCTGACCCACAGTTTGAGAACCACTGCTCTAGTCCAAACTCTGCAAATATTTTATTAGCTTTCCCCCCTGGTATTTCATTACTTCTGGGCTCCAGCCAAGATCAGAAGCTGAAATGGTGGGAAGAGGCTGTTCTAGGGGCACATTTGGCTTGTCCAGAGTTAGAAAGCAGAGGAAATCAATGTCCCCATGAGCTTGCAAACCTAAGAGTGTCAGCTGAACATCAAGCTTTTATAAGTTCATTTGAGCCAACCTGCTGAGCCTCTTCACTCAGTGCTATTGACTCTCCAGTAAACTCTGTTCTGTGTTCGTCACTTCCCACCCACCCCCTACTCTGGGGCTTGCAATCACTTAAGTTACTTTTAATTATTCTTCCAAGCAAACAAACCTTCCTATTTTATCTCCTCTCTGCTATCATGGGCCCAGCAGGCAGCCTTCCTCCACATCCAGCGTCAGTCCTGTTTGAAAAGGGATTTGAGATGCTGAACTTCCTCTTTCCTTGCAACATCCTGATTGCACTCCAGCCAAGTGTCATTACATGCAAGGGGAATTGGAAGGTGCTCATCTCCCAAGCTTGAGTTATCAGTCCTTAATGCATCAGTTTTGATGTGCCTGGTCACCTCCCAGGATCCTACCCCTTGGAACTTGGCTTCAGCCCGAGTCCTCTAATGCTGCCATTGGCACTCTAGTTGCTCCCACAAATGCACAAGGTGCTCCTGTCCTTCCCTATATCTCCCAGAGTAAGAGGAGTGTGGCTGAAGTTCAGTGCATAACAGTGGTGCTGGAACTAGGGGTGCTGCTGCACCCCCTGGCTTGAAGTAGTAATAAAAAACATGATTTCCATGGTTTCTGTCATCAGCATTCCCACTATAAAAATTGTTCCACCTCTGGTGCATAACAAACCTCCTGTGATGAGAGCAAAGCAGCGGGCTGTTGTTCAGCAAGGGTAGGCTCCCATTTTGAGTTGTCTTGGAATGATCCAGGCTATGGAAGCCATCTGCTGCCATCATTCCGGGCTCTGAGGAAAGAAGGTGATTGGTCTAACTTGTTCTAAATGCCTGCCCCTCCTACTTCAGCATAAGTGCTGTCAATGCTAATCCAGTGCTAATACTTGCTGGGAGTACTGCCTATTCCCTACCTGCTCCCTCTGGCTGAGCCCCTGCCACTTGCCACCTCTGTATCCCAAGTTCTCCAGGTATCCCCATCCTAGCTGCCAGTTCTTGGCACACTGGCTGTGCCCACGAGTGCCCCAGAGGGCAGTGGGTTTGATGGTTCTGGGGTTTTTTTATCTTGCTGTATTTGGAGGGAAAGAAAATCTCTCTTCTGTGTAAACTCCTTAGCTCAAGAAGCTTAGGCATCAATGGGTCCCATTCAGCCCAGAACTGGTGTCTCATTGTTTTCCCCCTAGGTTTTCATGGCAGTAGGGGATAATCCCTTAGGATCAGACAACCTTTGTTTGGAGGATATGGGGGGAAACCTATTTTAAAAATATAATAACACAAACTCTCTCCCTGACCCCCCACCACCACCAAAAACAAGCAAACAAACAAAACCAAAACAAATTCACCCCTTGCAGATTTCTTAGTGTTATACCAAATCCTGGATTTAGTCTAAAGAACCCTCTAGTTCACCTAAATCCTGCTCCCAGCATTTCTTAGCATTGGACTGAGTGTTTTCCTTTTGGTCAGTCTGGTATCAAAATGGTCTTTCAGGCTGGAGCCTGTGATTCTCGCATCTAGATTGATATTTAGGCTCTAGTGAATGAGTCAGTGTTCTTCCGGAGTGATTAACTCAAATGTTTTGTTGCAAAATGTCAATAAAAGTTGTTCATCTAAAAAGGGGATTGTGTAACACTTCTTGGTGTGGAAGTTTTATTCCTATAGCTGAATGCAACTGCTTAATGATTCTATTTGAAAGAAGATGCTAGGTGTTGAATGAATTCAATATCGGAGGCTGCCAGTAGATGGTGCAATGCTTTCCCTAAAGAATGTATATATGGAAGGGTTTTCTTCGGTCAAGGGACAGAAGGGAAGCAAGAATTGGACAAAGGTAGAAACCTTTGAGCACAGGGCTACCTATAGGGCTTTTATAGATAACCACTCTAAGGAGAGAGAACCATGGCGTTGATTCAGGCATCTGACTGTGTCCTGTATCCAAATAACAAGTGGGCTTTTGTGCTGCTTTCTTTAGGTTGTAGGGAATGGCTATTATAATGAATACCTGAAGACTATCCTGGCCAAAAGAACACACAAAAGAAGGTACGGCCAAAACAATGCTCTTCCTCTTCTGCAGGAACTCTGCCTCGTTCTAATCCAGTGTTTCTTGCCTGGGGGTAGGTCAGTAAACAATGGGGGTTATGAGTACAGCTACGTTTTATTCACGGGTATTTTTAGTAAAAGTCATGGACAGGTCACGGGCAGTAAACAAAAATGCATGGCCCATCACCTGTCCATGACTTATACTATATACCCCTGATTAAATCTTGGGGTGGGGGGGCAGCCTGGGGGTGCTATGGGTGCTTGGGGGGAGAGGGGGTGTTGGCTCGGGTGCTGGGGGATGAGAGTGGGGGACTAGGGTTGCCAGGCATCCGGTTTTTGACCAGAATGCCTGGTCGAAAAGGGACCCTGGCGGCTCTGTTCAGCACCACTGACCAGGCTGTTAAAAGTCTGGTTGGTGGCGCAGCGGGACTAAGGCAGGCTCCCTGCCTGCCCTGGCTCCAAGCAGCTCCCGGAAATGACCGGCATATCCGGCTCCTAGGTGCAGGGGCAACCAGGGAAGCTCCGCGTGCTGCCCCCTCCCTGAGCACTGCCTCTGCAGCTCCTGTTGGCTGGGAACCATGGCCAATGGAGCTGCAGGGGCAGCGCCTGTGGGTGCGGGCACCACACACTGAGCAAAGTCGCCTGGCCCCTCTGCCTAGGAGCTGGACATGGCGGCTGCTTCTGGGAGCAGCGTGGAACCAGGGCAAGAAGGGAGCCTGCCTTAGCCCCGCTGTGCCACCGACCAGGAGTCACCTGAAGTAAGTGCCGCCCGGCCGGAGCCAAAACCCCCTGCCCTAGGTCAGAACCCCCTCCCGCACCCAAATCCCCTGCCATGGGTCAGAACCCCCACACACACTCCAACCCCCTGCCCCAATCCGGAGCCCCCTCCTGCATCCCAAACCCCTCATCCCCAACCACACCCCAGAGCCCACACCCCCAGTCGGAGCTTGCAAAGCACTACCCAGAGCCCTCACCCCCTCCTGTGCCCCAACCCCAGCCCTGAGCCCCCTACCCAAACTCCTGCTGGGGGGTGGGGTGGGCGATGACCCAAGATTGCCCCAGCAGCGGCCAGTGCAGCTGGCCCAGGGGCCGCCCGAGCTGCTCAGGCAACCCCCAGGCCAGCCATACCAGCTGCTGCAAAGTCACGGATTCCACGACTTTCCGTGATTCCATGACCTCTGTGACAAACTCACAGCCTTACTTGTGAGACATTGAAAACTTCATTAGTCTAAAGCAAAGAAAATCTTTCTCTCCCCTCCCCACATACCCTTACCCTCCAACATCAAGTATTCTGTCACCTTCTCAAAACACACACATTATGGATGTAAATGTAATCTTTACTGGGTTTCATACATGACCATCATGCTGTAGTTCACACAGGAATTCAGGGCAGTCCTATGGCCCATCTCATACAAGGGGTCAGACTAGACGATCCCACTGGATCCATTCTGACTTTGGATTCCATTACTCTTGTTATCACTGACACTTCTTTACTCTTATACCAAATGTAAGGGCATTTTGACAATTTTGACTTCAAATGAGGGGTGGCTGGCCTAGAAAGGTTGAGAAATGCTGCTCTGAACAGTGCTACTTGCGGCTGTTAGAAAGGAAGCTGTTCTCGAGGTGGTGGTAAGCTCAGGACCACATACACTGGCTGGGCTGTGCATGGGGAGCCTGGGGCTGGAGTGGCTGTGCATGCTACAAGTCAGGACTGAGGTGTATTGGCAGAACTGTGTGTACTAGCTTCATCAGAACTTCCACCCAAAAGGACAGGCTGCTGGTGCTGATTGATAAGTGTTAAAAATCAAAGCAGTGCTTTTGTTCTGGGCCAACGTTTCATACCTGACTCATCGCAATTCTTCCTCTTCCAGCTCCAGGAAAGTAAGTCTCCTCTCAAGGGCCCAGATGTATTTACGCTCTTACATCTACACACCCCAGGAAGGTACCGTATGACAAGATCTTCTGATGCGCTCTTAGGCATAGCAGGGTCTCTGGCACCAGACTTCCTCCCACATGAAGTAACTGTTTCTTGGCTCTCTCTCTCAAAGTATCTATGCCGAGGCAGCTGCCGTACTAAATATGCACAACTCAATTTGCATGAATTGTTATCTTTGTGAAAGGAAATTTGGGGCGTTGCAAGGAGAGTGCTAACTCCATTGGCATGACAACCTTGTGTCCCAGATTGCATGAAGGTTTCTGTGTTATTAGGCTTCTTCCCTCATGTACTTGTTTAGCAGTTCAGTTGACTGTTGTTGCATCGACAGAGTGGATAGGTGGAATCTGGATGTGCTGAGGAAGGCTTGGATGAAACCATAGTGGTGGGGATGCTTTTGTCTATAAGGAGAGGGGTCAGACAGCTATGAACAGATATAATGAAACTGGATGGATGGTGAGAGTGACTGACACTGTGAAGGAATGGAAGCCCAGATGGATGCCTTTTGCTAACTTGTCACTCTGCTGCTTGTAAGCCTCAGGCTGGAATTGGTCTCCTGTCTCTTATGTCCCCCTGTCATTCTGGGATTTCAGGGTTCCAGGTTCCTCTGAAGCTGGTTCTCTCTGTAACCACAGCCGTGATTGCTGTTTACCAGGTAAGCCTGTAGCAATGCCCCTGCTGGGCCTGTGGATGGCTGTGCTAGCCTGTCCTGTTGTTTCCCATGCCCTACTTACATTCTGTGTGAGTGGGGAAGCAAGATGGGCAGCCCCATCCAACTGCCAGGCTCCTGCACCCATCCCACCCAGTCTGTGACTTGCCCTGGGCACTGCGAGGGTTCTCCCAGGGGCAAGAAGGATTAACCTCAGTGACAGGCTGCATTGTCCCAAGGGTCACTCCTGGCTGACGGAGCCTGCAGCACCCCTCTGTACTCATTGTAGCTGTCACTGTGCTGTGGCAGGGTAATCAGCTTCAGCAAGGACCAGACTCTGGTCACAGCCCTGCTTTCCATCTGCAGCAGGGCCAGACATGACAGCTGCCTACAGCTCTCTCTGTTGGTGTTCATTTTGTGTGTTCCTGCCAACGCAGTGGGCGAGAGACTGGAACTGAGGACTCCTGCCCTGGCAGCCTCAGGCCAGTCCCAGTTTGCATAACAGACTGGAGTTTTTAACCCTTTTCTTGCTGTCACCTTTCCATTGAGTCTGAGGCTCTGGCACCCACATCCCCCTTGCTTCCTCCACTCCATGGCAGTGTCCAGGATGTGGTCAGCAGCTGCTGTGGGGTGGGAGTTTACCACAGTGGCGGTGAACAGGTTGCTGGTGTACATGCATGAGCACACTCCCTTGCACACTGTCTGTAGCGCTCACCAGGCTCTTGGTTCACAGATGGCCTTGCTGCTGCTCGTCATCTTCGTCCCCAACATTCAGATAGTGAGGGCAGGGATGACGAAGGAAATCACTGTCCTGCTGGTTCAGTTTGGTGTTGTGCCTTCAGAGAACCCGGGGAGTGTCCCTGGAGACATGGAGCGGGAGCTGAACACAGTCAGACACTATCTTTGGTCACTGGAAGGTGAGTCTCTCCAAGTCTGTCAAGCTTGATGCTGGGGGTGCCCATGATCCCAGTCCCATTTCCCTGCCTAAATCCTGGGCTGTCTGTGTAGAGGTCCGGTACAGCATGGAGGATGGCAAGGAAAGCTTCCAAACTGCCATGCTTTGGCGTGACGTCTTGAAGGGGGTGTTCAGTCTGTATGCCTCTCCTTCCTCCCCACACTATACACACTTCTCTGTCCCGGAGCTCTCTGCTGAGACTACCCAAGAAACAGGCAATTTGTCTAGGTGACAGCAAAGGTCTGTGATACTGAAACTTACCCTCAGGATCAAGATGCACCAAAGAATTCCTGACCTCTTAACATTTAAGTATCAACTCTTCCCCTTCAACTAGAGCAAAGCTGCACAGACCAAAGCAAATTCCCAGCTCCCCAGAGTGAGAGGACAACAGCTGCTTGGGTTTGTTTTTTCTCTCTCCTTTTAATGAGTAAAAATAACTAAGGGCTCCACTCAGTCACTGAGCCATTTGTCCCATGGTAATAGAGACACCTGCATAGCAGTGCGGTGAACATCAGCTAGACTGGCTTACATAGTGGTATGTAATGTTTAAAACAGGAGTGTGAACACTGTGAATCTTGGGTTCTGTCCCTGCTCCTGAGCGTGTTGCTAATCCCATTGTTTGTGGGTATGCAGGGAGGTGAGATGTGGTTGGTGTTGGGAGGGAAGTTCCTGGATGTAAGAGATTAAAAGTTCAAAAGTCTGATCCAAAGAAGTCAACAGGAGTTTCTTCATTGACATCATTGGACTGTGGGCCTGCCTTGAGGCTGAGTTCAGCAAGGTATCGAAGCACATGCCTAGAGAAGCATATGCGGGGTCAAACTACTCAAGTGCTTCAGTAAGGCATGTACGTACATACCTTGCTGAATTGGGGTTCAGTAGCTGATCTCATGGGCTCTCTGTGGTAGTGTTGGTGGGAGGGGTTTGATAGGAGAAACTTTCAAACCGAAGCATAGTCATGGGAATTGGGACAATCTGAAATGCTGCACTGTCCTCTGAGTCTTTCCAAGAGGTTGGTTTGAAATTTAGAAGGGGCCTGGTCCCCTGGAAGGATGCCAGGAAAATTAATGTAACAGGACTCCAGTTTCCAGTCGCTGGGAGGTGAGTGCCTAATAGTGCTTTGATTCCATTGAAAATTACTTCCACTAACAACTTCTAAAAGGCCCAGAGCGTGTTTTTTTGCTATGATCTGTCTGAAGTCTCTCCTTCACCTCCCCTCTGATTCATTCCCCCCGACACACACACTCTCTTCCCCTGCTTTCTCTTAGCATTAGGTGCACAGGTGTGCCATGTGGGCTGGCTCAGTGCAGGGGTTGTACCTCCAGTTTGTGGTAATGGGTCCCAATCACAAAGAAATTCTAGAAACTGGAATATGGGGCTGCTGGGAAAGGAGTCTTGGAGAGTGAAGAGGATGGCTCAAAGGTTAGGGGAGTAACCTGGGACTTGGGAGACCCCTGTTCAATTCCCTCCTCTGCCACATGCTCCCCTATATGACTTTGGTCAAGTCACTTAGTCTCTCTTTGCCCCTATTTCCCATCTATGCAATGGGGATAACAGCTCTGCCTTGCCTCATAGTGGGTTTTGGATGCTAAAGAGTGAGAGATATGGTGGTGATGGAGAGCCAGAGATGGCCCTGTTTGAAATAGTTTGTGTGCCTCTTACTCAAAGCAGGAGCTGTCAGCTCTTTTCCTGACACTTTCCAGGCCTGAAATTTCTAGGCCTGGTCACTAAAACCCCCACCAGGCTGCATAGCAAAGTTCTAAAATGTGGATGCTGCTGCAAAAGGCAGAGAGATGGAGACATGAAAAGAAAACCCTGGTCTCGTGCCAGCAAATAAAGAGTGCTGTGAATGCCAAGCAGGGAAGGGGGGCAAGAGGAGAAATGTATCCACAGCCAGCAATTCCATGCTACAGATGCTATTGTTCAGGGGGACTTTGATATGTATTGGAATTGAGCAGATGGCTTCTCGAGTGTGTAACTACAAAGCCCTGGTGTGGAGGGGTGGGGGATTGGCTAATTGGGAAAGGAGGACAGGCAGATGAGCTCTTGGCCCTGTTGCCTCTGGCTAGCATGGTGCTCCCCTTGTTCAGTCAGCCTCTCCTTTATGCACTTAGAACAATGGCAGCACTTCTTTGCAAACAGCGACACATTAAAAATCCTGCTTGCGATTGTCTTTCTGACATCTCTCTCCACATCCCAGCTCCCCCCTTCCAAAGATATTTTTACAGCCTGTCATTCCTTTCACACTTCTGCTGGCTGATTTCTGCTGTGACATTTCGAACGTGTCTAACTCTTTTTGTAGACTCACTAAGTGCTTGGGGAGGGAGTGAGGGTGGGAAGAGTGGCTAACTGGGGTGACTGGTAATGACTGTGGAGACTGTCTCTGGGTGAGTGGCCCTTTAAAGGGAGATAGGTTCTGTCCCACCTGTAACATTTAGCTCATCTTTCAGGTGGAGAAAAGAACTGAAGTCACATGCTGGGTAGATCACATAGTTAACTCAGGCTGGGGTGGTGGGGGGCAGAGACCCAGAAGGAGATTCCGGGTAGCGAGCCCTGGGAGTCACTCACTGCTTGATTTGAGGGGTGAAAGAGACTTGGAGTGGCTGGGCACAGTTTTGAGACTGGATACCCCAGGACGGATGGACTTTTGTCTTTAATGACCTAGCTGTAGGCTGTCACTGCAGCCACCAAACCAGGCTGGAAGGCGGGGATGTCTAACCATGCAGCAGCTAGCTCGAAGCCAGACTGCGTATTGTGGCTGCGGAGCCTGTAACCCTAGGGTGATGGTGTGTCCCCGTGTGGATATGTGGTTATTGGCTGTCATTCCTATCGGGTGGGAGTTCTGTTCCATGATACAAGCTAGCTTGGCCTGCTTCTTTGCACCCCACTCAATCACTGGAGGAGCCAAGCACGTGGGAGGCTGCTGAATGTATCCATGTGATGCACCTGTGAGAGAGTGAAATATTCTCCCCATTTTACATGTAGAGAAACTGAGGCACAGAGGTTATGGACGATCACACAGGCAGAGCCAGGAACTGAACTCGAGTCCCAGTCCAGTGCCTTAACCACCAGGTGGTTTCTCCAGGTGATGAGCAACCACATCACGCCTCCCTCCTCCAATTTTAGCAAGGTGGCCGAGGATTGAATGGGATTGCTAGTGGAGATCCCTCTGGGGCAGGATGGAAGTGTGCTAACAGGACAGTGCTGGGAAGCCTGATGCTGCCCTTGCATATGTTGCAGTGATTGCATAAACAGAGCCCAAAGTCATCCAGTTCTGCCCCTCTGGCACTAGAGATGTGCTAGAGATGCAGCAATGAAAATGTCACAATAAACTTGTAAATCAGTGTCAGGAAGATGTGAGGGGGGAAGGTCCATTGAATGGTGGGCAGTAGCTGGGTCCAGTTCTGGATCTAGCACAATCCATTGTATTGCTCTGGTTCAAATGACAGCTGTCTCTGTCTGCTCCCTTACAGTGTGCTATGTCTGCTCCCTTGTGCTCTCCTGCCTGCTCACCTTCTCCATGCTGATGAGGTCCCTGGTGATGCACAGGTGAGAGCCTGTTTCTGACTTTGTTCCCAAGCCTCAGCACGGTGGACTAGAGAGAGCTTTCTACGTCTTCCCCACCCTATTCCCTGTCTGAGATCTCCCCAGATAGTGGAACGTGGGGAGACTGGGCCTGCGGGTGGAATGAGGGACTCTTACATACTCTCCTTCATACTAGCTTTATTGCTTACCCATCTGCCCTGAACTCCTTCAGGGGTTGGGATAACCCTGGTCATAGAACCAAAATGCCTCCCCTACACACACCTTTCCCATGCTGCCTTTGGATGTACAAAAGGTCTATCTGGCCTCTCTTTCCACAGGGCCAATCTGAAGGCTTTGTACCGAGGGGCTGTCCTAGATGTCTTCTGCCGTGCCCAGATGCTCTGCCCTTCCCAACAGGCTCTGGTCTGTTGGATGAGCTTTGCCAGCTTCCAGACTGCATTCGCCTGCTTGGGTAACTCCTCCTCAAAGAGGAACCAAACACTCTGTTGGTCCTTAGGCCTAAGAGATGGTGTCATGGGCTGGGGCTTTGGAGGGAAGAGTCGAATTTTCACAGGCTCTAGGTAAATGCTCAGGCATAGTTGAGATACATAAGCTCAATTCCTCAGCTGGTGTCAATTGGCAGAGCTCCACTCACAGTTAATGCAACTGCCAGGATTGACACCAACTGCAGCACTCAGGAAGCACCACACCAGGATACGGAAGTGGAAATAGTTCAGTTTGTCAGTAAAAGTGGAATCTTCTGTGGAAGACTAATCCTTTGTTTAAAATGCCCTCCAATCTTATTTAGTAGGCCTGGTTACCCCTCTGATGGAAAATCTTTTGAGCAGCCCTGGTTAATAGATGTCATGAGCATGTTCCAGACATAAGTAGGGTATATTTATAGATGGCATTAAGCCTATCAGAAGAAGCTACACATGGTTATGAGCAATCTATTGACCCCTTGGCAAATCCAACAGACTTTGCCCTGGTCTACACTACGGGGTTAGGTGGAATTTAGCTGCATTAGGTCGATTTAAAAATGGATGCATTCACACAACCAACCCCGTTCCGCCGACTTAAAGAGCTCTTAAAATTGACTTCTGTACTCCTCCCCAGCGAGGGGAGTAGCGCTAAAATCGTCCTTGCTGCATCAAATTTGGGGTAGTGCAGACGCAAATTGATGGTATTGGCCTCCGGGAGCTATCCCAGAATGCTCCAATGTGACCACTCTGGACAGCACTTTGAACTCCGATGTACTAGCCAGGTACACAGGAAAAGCCCCGGGAACTTTTGAATTTCATTTCCTGTTTGGTCAGCATAGCAAACTCAGCAGCACAGGTGACCATGCAGTCCCCCCAGAATCGCAAACAAGCTCCAGCATGGACCGAAAGGGAGACACTGGATCTGATCACTGTATGCGGAGAAGCATCTGTGCAGGCAGAACTCTGAGCAAAAAGAAGAAATGCAAATATATTTGCCAAAATCTCACGGGGCATGATGGAGAGAGGATACAACAGGGACACACAGCAATGCCACATGAAAGTTAAGGAGTTCAGGCAAGCCTACCAAAAGACAAAGAAGGCAAACAGGCTCTCCGGGTCAGAGTCCCATACATGCCACTTCTATGATCAGCTGCATGGCATTCTAGGGGGGGACCGTACCACTACCCCACCACTGTCCGTGGACACCTGCAAGGGGGGAGTCTCATGCAACAGGGAGGAGGATTTTGTTGATGAGGAAGAGGAGGAGGAGAATGTGGAGCAGGCGAGCAGTGAATCTGTTTTCACTGGCAGCCAGGACCTTTTCATCACCCTGGACCCAATACCCTCCGAAGGCAGGATCTCCGACCCTGAAGCCAGAGGAGGCAGCTCTGGTGAGTGCACATTTGTAACTACAGTACAGGGTTTAAAAGCAATAGTGTTTAATGTTTGATTTGCCCTGAAGAATTGGGATGCATTCGCGGCCAGTACAGCTACTGGAAAAGTCTGTTCACATGTCTGGGGATGGAGGGGGAATCCTCCAGGGACATCTCCATGAAGCTCTCCTGGAGGTACTCTGAAAGCCTTTGCAGGAGGTTTCTGGGGAGGGCTGCCTTATTTCGTCCTCCATGGTAGAACACTTTACCACAGCAAGCCACTAGCAAGTATTCTGGAATCATTGCAGCACAAAGTGTGGCAGCAAATGGTCCTGGGTTTTGGTCGCATTCAAGCAACATGTGGTCTATATCTTTCTGTGTTAGCCTCAGGAGAGTGATATCATTCATGGTCACCTGGTTGAAATAGGGGAATTTTTGTAAGGGAACAGTAAAAGGATCCTGTTCATGCTGGGCTGTTTTGCCTTGTAGCGGTGGAAGGGGTGAAGGGATCATCCCAGAGAATAGCCACGCGGTGGATGGGGGAGGTGTGTGCTGCCCAAAAACTGCAGCCCCTCCTTTTAAATGTGAAACCCAACCCATTGCTTGCTATGGGAAAGGATGGCACTGCAGTTTGAAACCATTCCCACGTTATGCGTAAGAAGCCAACCCTGCATACCCTGTGCCTTACCATGGCTGCCTGGAAACTGAATTCTATTGCCCAGCTGTGTGTGGTGTCTCACCATACCAGCAGGCGCCCAATATAAAAGGCAAAATGTGACCTTGTACCTAAAGCACATGTGCTGTCTGCTGTGAATTGCTTGATTCAATGTGAAAGAGTATCCCTTTTGTTCTCAGAAATGTATCATCTTAAATTTTACTCTCCCTTTTTATCTCCCCCCCCCCCCAGGTGCAAATGTTTCTATGCTCCCGCATCATCTCCATCCCTGAAGTTATCACAGATTAGAAGGCAAAAAAACCACACTCGTGATGACATGTTTTCCGAGCTCATGCAGTCCTCCCTCACTGATAGGGCACAGCTGAATGCATGGAGGCATTCAGTGTTAGACGCCAGGAAAGCATTAAGTGAGCGCGAAGAGCAGAGGCAGGAGCACAAGGAGCGGAGGAAGGAGGCGATGCTGAGGCTAATGGGGGAGCACACAGACATGATGAAGCATCTGGTGGAGCTGCAGGAAAGCCAACAGGAGCACAGACCCCCGCTGCATCCATTGTACAACCACCGGACCTCCTCCCCAAGTTCCATATCCTCCACACCCAGATGCCCAAGAACACAAGGGATGGGAGGCTCTGGGCACCCAGCCACTGCACTCTAGAGGATGGCCCAAGCAACAGATGGTTGTCATTCAAACAGTTTGATTTGTAGTGTGGTTACAAAAAGCAATGTGGCCTTGTCCTTCCCTCCTCCCCCACCCCACCCCACCCAGGCTACCTTGTCAGTTATCTCACTTTTTTTTAATTAATAAAGTAAGAATGCATGGTTTCAAAACAATAGTTACTTTATTTCGAAGGGGGGGAGAGGGTGTGGTATGGTTACAGGGAATTAAAATCAACCAAGGGGGGTGGATTTGCATCAAGGAGAAACACACACAACCATCACACCATAGCCTGGCCAGTCGTGAAACTGGTTTTCAAAGCCTCTCTGATGCATAGCGTGCCTAGCTGTGCTTTTTTAATCGCCCTGCTGTCTGGCTGCTCAAACCTGGATGCCAGGCGATTTGTCTCAACCTCCCACCCCACCATAAACGTCTCCCCCTTACTCTCACAGATATTATGGAGCACACAGCAAGCAGCAATAACAATGGGAATGTTGGTTGCACTGAGGTCTGACCTAGTCAGCAAACAGCACCAGCGAGCTTTTAAATGTCCAAAGGCACATTCTACCACCATTCTGCACTTGCTCAGCCTGTAGTTGAACTGTTCCTTACTACTGTCCAGGCTGCCTGTGTAAGGCTTCATAAGCCATGAGAGCAAGGGGTAGGCTGTGTCCCCAAGGATAACTATTGGCATTTCAACATCCCCAATGGTAATTTTGTGTTCTGGGAAGTAAGTCCCTTCTCGCAGCTGCTCGAACAGCCTGGAGTTCCTAAATATGCGAGCATCATGCACCTTTCCCAGCCATCCCACGTTGATGTCGGTGAAATGTCCCTTGTGATCCACCAGTGCTTGCACCACCATTGAGAAGTACCCCTTGCGGTTTATGTACTGTGGTTTATGTACTGGTTGGCAAAGTGGTCCGGTGCCAAGATGGGGATATGCGTTCCGTCTATCGCCCCACCACAGTTAGGGAACCCATTGCACTATGATCTGCACATTTCCCAGAGTCACTACCCTTGATAACAGAACGTCCTTGCTACTTGGATCACAGCAGCCCCCACAGTAGGCTTGCCCACTCCAAATTGATTCCCGACTGACTGGTAGCAGTCAGGCATTGCAAGCTTCCACAGGGCTATTGCCACTCACTTCTCAACTGTCAGGGCAGCTCTCATCTTGGTATTCCTGCACTTCAGGGTTGGGGAAAGCAACTCACAGAGTTCCAGGAAAGTGGCCTTATGCATGCGAAAGTTTCACAGCCACTGTGAATCATCCCATACCTGTGACACTGCGGTCCCACCACTCTGTGCTTGTTTGCCTGGCCCAGAATCAGCGTTCCACTGTATCAACCAGCCCCTCTGCCGCCATGATGTGCCAATTGCCACAGCCTGTGCTTTCAGGAACATCTGTGTCCATGTCCTCATCAAAATCCTCCTCGTGGTGGCGTCTCTTAGCCTGGTTCTGCATATACTCCAGGATAATGCACAAGGTGTTTACAGTGCTTACAACAGCAGCGGTGACGGTGAGCTGAGCGGGCTCCATGCTTGCCGTGGTATGGCGTCTGCAGGAGAGCAGAGTTGCAGCGGAAGCAGTGGATGACGACGGTTAGCAGCACCCAGGAGGACCAGAGCAGATCCCCCGAGCTGCAGGAGAGCAGAGTTGCAGCGGAAGCAGTGGATGACGACGGTTAGCAGCACCCAGGAGGACCAGAACGGATCCCCCGAGCTGCAGGAGAGCAGAGTTGCAGCAGAAGCGGTGGATGATGATGGTTAGCAGTCGTACTGCACCATCTGCTGACAGCAGCACCCAAGACACAACAGCGGCAGTGTCGCTGAGCTGAGCAGGCTGCATGCTCGCCGTGGTATGGTGCCTATGGAAAAAAGGCGAAACGATTGTCTGCCGTTGCTTTCACGGAGGGAGGGGCGACTGACGACATCTACCCAAAACCACCCGCGACAATGTTTTTGACCCATCAGGCATTGGGAACTTAACCCAGAATTCCAATGGGCGGCGGAGACTGCGGGAACTGTGGGATAGCTACCCACACTGCACTGCTCCGTAAGTTGATGCTAGCCATGGTAGTGAGAACGCAGTCCGCCGACTTAATGCGCTTAGTGTGGACATACGCAATCGACTGTATAAAATCAATTTCTAAAAATCGACTTCCATAAAATCGACCTAATTTCGTAGTGTAGACATACCCTTAGTAACACTATACTAAACCCCTATTAACCTTTGATAAATGGAACAAGAACAAAGGTTGACCATAATGGACAGGCACTAATTGACCTTTTTGGCCATTTCAGCAGTGAGACCAAGGGCTGCATTGGCCATGGAGCCTGAGCTCCCTTCCCACCACGCAAAAGTAACCTTCTAAGTCAGATGGGATGTGTTGCAGAAGTGGGAGGGGACGCTTGCCCAGCCTCTTCCACATCTGACTGGTAGATAAGTGGTGGATTTCAGTCTGCAGGGCTGTCAAGCTGCACTTTCCCTAGTAGTGAAGTGGCAGGCCTGTAGCCATCGCGATCTGCGCGGGGGCTGGGGCAGATTGCCTTCGGGAACCTGAAAGAACACACACGAGTCACATATCCTGATGTTGGGAATATGATGCTTTTCTGAACTCCTAGTTTTAATGTCCTTACATTGGTGAGCTGAATGAATTAGCAGTGTGATGTACGGTATCCCGCTGCTTACCTCTTAGATCAGGTTAATGAATCGTTGGTCCTGTGGACCCTGCTGGTGTTGGTGTGATTGTTATTAGAAATCACAGTTCCAGACCCCAGAGCTGGCTCTTCTCTATGTGACTAATGAGCCACATGGTAAGAAAATGCTGACCCCCAATTAAATCCAATAATGAATTGTGTGTGAGTGTGAACATGACAGAGTAGACCTAGTAAGTTAATACATAGGTGGGAGGGGAAGTAACAGATTGTCAATGGAATTAGGTTGAGGGTTTTTATTTTTAAAGCAGTGTAAAGGAGTTAGGTGCATAGGGTGGGACTTTCAAAAGCATGTAGGTGATTTAGGGGCCAGTTCCCATTGATTTTCAATTATTTAGATTTTCAATTATTAGATTTAATGGAAACAGAGTGCCTAAATCACTTAGGCTCCTTGGAAATAACCCCAGTCTAGATATGTAGTGTGTAAAGGAGGGGGGGCTTGGAAAGATGGTGCAGCTCTGAGGAACATAAATGAGGGAGTAAATAGGGTTAGAGGAAATGTCTGTTTTAACACCCTCCGTGGCTGTGCGCCCACTTACTAGAGACTGATAGTGATTCCTCCACCCTTCTCCTGGCAATTTTTTACCTCTTCCACTGTGGCTGATGCTCTGTCTCTCAAAGGTCTCCTCACCCAGCAAGTGATTTTCTTTGTCTGCACCGTGGGCTTCACCTTCCTAGTGGTCATTCCACTCCAGTCAGGCACAAATATGCATCTGTTTAAAATCCTGGAGAACATGTGGTAAGTGCTTTTCAGACCCAGCAGGAGGCACTGGGGAGCTCTGGGCTAAGGAGATAAGGAATGGGATACTCAGTCAAGCCACAAAATTACCTCAGGTGGGCAAGTGATAAAGACAAACTAACTAGCTGTCCTTGAAGAAACAAACTTAACAGTCCAGCTGCATCATGTCAGGATGTTCCATCCACAAATCACTGCGGTTCTGCATCCTAATACAATGCCATGGGGGAAGGGGAAGGTATATTTGGGGCTCTTCAATTGCCCTTCTGCACAATAGGATCAGCTCTGGCGAAGCTGGGGTTGTCCCATGGATTTCAGACAGGTGGCAATCCTAGAGCTCCATCTTCCAGCTGCAGGCAAGGACTCCAAGCTAAATGAAAGATTATTCCACCATCCTGATTATTACCCTGCATAGCTCCCTCCTTGTGCAGGAGGCATTGAGCACCCATGAGACTGACTTGTCCAGTGCCCAGCATTGCTGAAGGAATGGGCTACAATTCTCACACAGCCATGACTGATTGTGTGTTTTGGGGACCCCATGCAGAGGCTGCTGAGAGACTGGCCTGACCTTGGAAGCAGGGCTCCAGATCTGAAGCTTCCCAAAGTCTGTTTTTCAGGGCTGCTCTGATCCTGGGGCTTGGATTGGGCCTAACACTGGCCGCATTGACCCTGATATTTATGGATGCTTTTAATGGCCTGGTGGTCTTTCTCTTCCTTCTCCTCCCCATCCACATTCTCTGCCAAATCAGGGCCATCATGGCAAACCATCAAAATATGGTTTGGGGTTCCCCTAGCTCTAAGCACTGATTCACCCTCCAGTGGCAGGTACTATGGAATAATACTGGGCAGACAAGTCAGCAAGGGCCAGACTGTACTGTGAAGCTCTGAGGATCAGGGCTGCCCTGCCCCCAGGAGCTCCTAAGGGGTAGCAGCATTGTTGCCTTCCCAAGGGCAGGCCAATGCCACTGTGAGGGAGCTGTAATTCACTCACCCTTGTTCCCCAGAGGACGCTGGCAAGTGGCAATTTCTGTGCTCTCATAATCATAGGGGCTGCAAATTGTCTAGCCCCTGAGCACATGTGCTGGGCTCTTGTACCTCTCCTGCCCCCCATTTGGCCCCTCCAGGCCATGCCATAATCTGGCCCAAACATTCAGATCATCTGCTCTATGAAGAACTGTCAGGCAAACCCACTGACTGGAATCTGCCCCTTCCTTGTCTTCTCCCCCGCCCAGGCCGTTCTGGCTGACGCTGGTGCTTGCTGTGGTCATGCAGAACTTGCTTGCTCATTTCTACTTCCTAGAGAAACACCACCTGCAGAAGGAGCTGACCAACAGGTGAAGGGGTGTTGAGTAGCTAAACATGCACACTGTTTTGTCTCTGGTCCCAGGGGCTGTAGGACACCTAGTTTGGGTTTGGTGCACGTGGTTTTGAACAAACCTGTATGCCGGGTGACACAGGGCTGAACTGTATGAAATGCCGGAGCTGCATCTGAGCTTCCAGTTCCCCCAAGCATGCCTTACCTTGTGTTCACCACAAGGCTTGAGAGCTTTCCTGGTCTCGCTGTGAGCCCATGAGGCAGTGCCGTCCATCCAAGGACCCCCACATCTCCAACACTGGTGAAGCTTCCCAACACCCTGTCAGAGGGGATGGCAACTGCTGAGGTGGAGCCAGTGGATGGACCTCAAACCAAGTCTCAGGATCCCTAGGCCTGTGTGATCACCACTCCAAGGTCTTGCCTTTCCAGTAAAGAACAAATGGGGATTTTATCTTTTCCCGAGATGTTAGGGCGAGAAGGGACCATTGATTGTCTGGTCTGGTCCCCTGCAGAACACAGGCCTGAGAGCTCATGCAGTGAGCCCAGGACATTACCCGAGCGCAGTGGCCAACAACCCTTCCCTCCCTGAAACCAGGTCTAACTTCCCAGCATGCCTGTGAGCTCTTGCTAGCCTCCTAAAAGCTGCTGTGTTTGTCTGTGTGGTCACTGACAGGAGGGTCAGTAAAGTCCTCTGAGATGCCCAGAGGACCAAAGGGGCTGCAGAAACTCCACTGCCAGCCTCCTTCAGCTTCCCTGAGCAGCCTGGCAGTGTGGAAAGTTTGGGGAGGGTTAGCAGGCTGTATGCTGGACTAACGCTGGGCATCACTACTGCAGCAAGTGGCTCTTTGTCATGGTGGGGTGGGCTCCTTGGCCTCCTGGCCCTATTGTTTCATCTCTGCCTCGTTGCCCCAGGCGAGCCCTCTGCATCGTGACCTATCTGCTCTTCCCCATCAACGTCCTGGTGGGGGTCCTGGCCGGGGTCTGGAGAATGTTCATTTCTGCACTTTACAATGCTGTCCATTTCTGCCAGCTGGACCTCAGCCTGCTGAATCGGGGCGTCGAGGCCTTCGATCCAGGTAAAGGACACGAGAGCCCCCTCCTGGAGCCAACATACACTGCTCCCTCCATGTTCTGGCATTACGCATGGTGGGCATGTCCTCCCCTGGGCCCAATGTTGTAAAGCCAGTGGGGTGCTCCTGGGGAATATGACTCTGGCAGGATCCGGGTCATTGACAAGGAATGTCTGTCTGAGGCTAACCTAAGGATCCTGTGCATCACATCTGATGCAGGGATCTAACTCCTGGACTGTCCCTGGACATGGAACCTGGGAACGGAGTAACCTAGCTAGCCATCCTGCCATATTTAAATGGGAAACAGGGCCTGGGCAGCTTGGCATTGCCTGCCTGGGGTTCTGTGGGGGTGAATCTGGCTTCCCAAACACTACTGCACGATTATCTGCTATTGAAAACCTGTTTCCTTTAAATGTTGTAGGTTTCCCTGTCCCCCCTGGCTGTTTCTGGTGAAACTTGACTTCTCTTGACACCCAAAGCTGCTGAGGCCTAGGGGGTGAAGCCCACAGCCCAGGTTCTAATATCTGATTGCATTGGTGTGAATCTGGAGCGACTCCAGAAATGCTCTGGATTTACAGAGCAGTAGCTCAAATTGAGATTTGCCCGCCCCCCTGCAGTCCATTCGTCTGTGGAGGAGGAAAAAACCAAATAGATGCAACCCTGAATTCTGCCCTCCTCCGTGTGTGTGTGTGTGTACCTGTATGAGCGTGCACACGCTCTGGACTCTGCTACACGCTCTGATATATGAGGGAGGGATAGCTCAGTGGTTTGAGCATGGGCCTGCTAAACCCAGGGTTGTGAGTTCAATCCTTGAGGGGGCCATTTAGGGATCTGGGGCAAAAATTGGGGATTGGTTCTGCTTTGAGCAGGGGGTTGGACTAGATGACCTCCTGAGGTCCCTTCCAACCCTAATATTCTATGATTCTATGATACATGGCCTGTGTTCCCTCTAGGCTACCGCACTTACTGTCATTACTTGAAAATTGAGGTCAGCCAATCACACCCTGTGATGAAAGCCTTTTGCTTCTTGCTTCTCCAAGTACCTGGCCCAGAGGGGCAGACAGGACTCAAACCCACTGATGTGGAAGAAGGTGAGATCTTGCTTCCTCCCCACTTCCCAGCTTTAAGTGAATGCTAAAGAACTGCTAGCCAAGAGAAGCAGAATTTCCTGGTGCCAGGGGGAGCGTCTGTGGACAGACTCCCATGCTCGGTGCTGATAGTGCAAGGAGCTCATGTTGAAAATTTCTGGTCTCATTCATAGGCTGGGTCTACGCATTGGTTGTCCTTCTAAGGGAGGGCTGGGGAGTGGTTTCACCCTTTCACCAAAGGAGCAGGAGGTGCCATGAACAAAGGAGGGTGCAGAATTCAACTGCCAAGGGCAGTGTCAGTAGAAATGCCCCACTTGCTCCCCCTGGTGGGGGATGCTCATGCACTGTCTCATGCCCTGCATAATGCTTTCTCCTCAGAGCTGCATGTCCTCTTCCTCTCCGCGGTGTGACATGGTTGACTGGCAGCCTGGTGATATGGGGTATCAGTGCAGATTCCTTCCTGGCTCTGCACTGCCAGGCTGTGGGTTCCTCTCCTCCTTCCATCTTTGTGCAGGGGCACGTGCAGGGCAGGGAGAACAATCCCCCTTCACCCAGAGACATGGTGAGCCCGCCCTGTAGGCAGACAGGAGGAGGGAGTGATGCTGAGGTTTCCTCCTTTGCAGGGATCCAGCTGATGCAGCCTGTGAAGGGGCTGCTGAAGGCATCCAAGTCCAAGCAGACGAGAGCCCGGTGGGGCCTGGCCTACACCCTCCTCAACAACCCATCACTCTTGGCCTGCCGAAAGACTGTGCTCTCCGACCCCACAGCCAACGGGACCCAGTCTCGCCCTGCCAAGCCCTGACCTCCACAGAAGAGCCCTCCCCTTTCTCTGGGAAGTGTTCCAGCTCTGCTCACTGCCTCCTCTCTCCTTCTTGTGTGTCCCACCACCCCATAGCAGCGACCTTGACTCTGCGGAGCCCTAGAGCATGGCTGCGCCCGATTGCCTGCCTGCCTGCCTTTGAGACCAGGGCTGTTTCCTTAGGGCAGCTTGGAGCTAAGGGGGACGGGCTGCCTGATAATCTTGCCCAGAGACTGAGCTTTAAAGCCACCCGAAGCCAAGTCTTTGCCCCCCATGCTTCTGGGAAACCTGAAGCAGCTCAAAGGTCCCCCTTAGGAATCTTTCCGATTCAAATCCTGCTGGGCTCACAAGTGAAATGAGTTTGGTGGTCTCCAAATTTTTATCCCAATTGCCCTTCCACCATGCAGTTTGGAACATTTGAGTCCCTGCTGAGAGGAGGTGGGGGCTTGAATGGGAGAGAGAAGGGGAGCTACAGTATTGCGGGGTGCTAGCCAAACTGAGAGGAAGAAGCTGGATCTGCCCCTAACCAGAATGACCTACTCTGCATTTCAGAAGGCACCACCATCTTCCTTCCCACCACCCCTCAAGAGCCTGCATTGGAGTCTCACCTGGATCCCCTTCAACACACCAGGTAGTGGCAGGTTTTTTCAGGTTGCCTTTGTGTCAGGGTAACTTTTCTTTTTCATGCAGAGACAGCCATTCCACAGAAGAGCCCAGCACTAAAGAGATTCTGATGAAGCATTTATGAAGGAATATGTCTTCATGCCTTTAAAGAAAAAGAATAACTTTTTAAATATATTGTTCACGTCTTTTCTATAGTTTTTAGTCCTAGTTGCTGATAAATAGACTGCAGGTACTGTAGCTTTGTAAAATTGGAAATGTGCCCTCGATGCTTTCACAGCAAGACGGCAGAGCGATCTCTCTGTTTTGTGTGGATCCTCTATGCTGCGTGTCCCTCTGGCTTCTCATACTCTGCTCATGTCCTTGCCTCCACTTTTCTGGCAAACAGGAGGTGTCTATCTTCCTGCTCCCCCTGCCCTATTTTTTTTAAACTAATAATTCCTTGGCCTCTGTTCTTATTCTATGAGAGGTGGGCAGGTCAGATTGGGAGTGAGCTGAGCTAGTAGTTGTAGAGTACAGTGAGTTTAAACCCCCTTGGAATGGTGAGGTGGGAATAATAAATAATATGCCTCTTTCCTACTGCTTGGAGAGTGCCTGTTCTGTTTTTGGTCTCCCGTGAAAGCAAGTGTGAGCACAAGGGTGATGGAGGTAATGGAGGGGGGAAGGGCAGAGAACAGTGGGAAGAGACGTATCAGGGCCCTTGTATATGACCTTCTCTTGCCATGGTTAGTGTGGCCATTTGGTGCATGGCTGGGGGCATTGTTACGCTCTTCTGCACCCCACAACAGCAATCCCAAACCACAAGGAAAGCAAAGCCAGACACAAGCAGGTTTCCATGATTTAGTGTAGATGGGACCTAATCATTGTCCATTAAGCCACGGACAGCACAAGGTTTCACAGTAGGACTGGCTGCAAATGTTCCTTCAAGTGTTTTTCAGTGGGTTTTCAACTGTGTGTGTGTGCGAGAGAGAAACAGCTGCTTGCTGTGGGGAAACTTTGTTCTTTAAAGAAAACAACCCTGAAAACTGAAATGGTTTTGTTTCTGAAATGCTGCCTCAAAGGAGATGTAGTTTGTGTTCCTCATTCTTCTCTATGGGCTGGGTTCCCTGCAGCCATGGTCACCTCAGTGTGGAGCATGACGGCGACATTTCAGAAGAACTTTTTTTTACTGAAAACCCCACATCTTCCATGGACGGGGAAGGGGGCATATCATTCTAACCGGGTCTACTTCGATCACCAGAGCTTCATAGAATAGACCATGATGTTCGACCTCTTGTATAACAGTGTCCTGCGAATAGTGATTCCTGCACCCAGCCCATAACTGCTGTTTGAGCTAGAGCATGTCTCTCTTAGAAAGACATCTTAGAAAGACATCCTGGCTGAAAGACTGTAAGGGAAGGAGACCCCACTGTGACCCTGGGTAAGTTGTTCCAGTAAAGAGCTACCCCTTTAAGACTTTGTCCCTTTTATTTTTAGTCTAAATTTGTCCAGCTTCCTGCCATCAGATCTCATTAGAGCTGTCTGTTAAAAAGCCAGTTATCTCTTTAGTTTGGGGACCCAGCAAAGGTTGCTGGAGGCCTACAAAGTAGAACAGCATTTTAAGACATCTCTGCCTGACATGGTCCATGCTGCAGTGTAGACAGGGCCCTGAATCCCACCAGACCTTTTAATTACCAATGGATCTAGCTTTGGGGGGCCTGCAGGCTCCAAAACCCCTTTCCACAATGGGCAGATATGTTCTGGTGCTGCTCATGCTGTTGGCCCTTCCACCCACCCACCAGTGTGCATTATCATGAGGCGGAGACACAAGGGGGTGTTTGAAGTTTGTTTTCTCCCCTGAACCATTGGTGCTGGCAGGCAGCCTCTAGTGTAGCTCCTTCCAATGGATTTGGATTCTCTCCCTGAACTGTTCACTCCACTGCAACTCAGAAGCTGGGGGTAGGCGTGTGTGTGCTGAATATGGTATATGGAAAGTACCACGAGAGGCAGCAAGATGGTGGTTAGAGTCAGGACATCAGAATTCTATTCCTAGCTCTGCCACTGACTTGCTGTGTGATCTTGCTATGCTGTGCCTCAGTTTCCCCATCTGTAAGATTCAAACAGCTATTCACCCTCCTTTTGAAAAAGGCTTTGAATTCTGTGGGTGGAAAGTGCCTGAGAAATGGAGAATACATTATATAACTTTTCATTCAGTGGATGTAGTGACAGTGCTGTCCTCTACACTGCAGAGTAGTCTACATGGAATTATTTGCTGGACCGGGTTGCCTGGTTAGTGGATAGTTGTTAATGGGTGTGATGGGATCCCCAGTGTACAGCCTGGAACTGGGGTACTGCTGTGCCCTCTGAATTCTCCAGCCTGGGCTGTCTCTTGAAATGCTTTGCTAGTGACAAGCAGCAACCCCCTCCAGGAGCTGTTATCACTCAGCCACCAGCATGAAGAGACACACCCAGAGACTATGTTGCATGAATGCTCTCCAAGCCATTTTTGAACTATACAATGGGAAACACCAGCAAATCTGCCTGAGCCCCCAGCCTTGCACCCTAGAAATGTACTGTCTTACACTGCTTAAGACCTCCCCTTGAACAATGCAAGCTCGTTAATTAGTTTGCCACTTCACCAAAGGATAGTGGACTTGCACCAGCCTTTGTAATCTGAGCAGATTCCCCAAGCACTTCAGACAAACTCACTGGTAAGGATAAAACATTAAAATAAGTTTATTAACTACAGAAAGATAAATTTTAAGTGATTATAAGTGATAGGTATAAAGGTCAGGGATAGCTACCTAAGAAAATAAAAAGTAAATGCATATTCTGAATCTTAAACTTAGAATGCATTTTGCTTTTATTTCATTTGACCAAATCTGACTTCTTGTGTTTTGACTTATAATCACTTAAAATCTATCTTTTGTATTTAATAAATTTGTTTGTTTATTCTACCTGAAACAGTGCATTTGGTTTTGAAGTGTGTCAGACTCCACTTGGGATAACAAGCCTGGTACATATCAATGTATTTGTTACATTGACAAACTCATATAAGCTTGCAGCATCCAGTGGGCATAACTGGACACTGCAAGACAGAGGCTCCTAGGGTTGTGTCTGGGACCAGAGATATTGGCTAGAGTTATTTGGTTGCACAATCCAAGCAGCAGCTGGCCAAAAGTGCTCACTCACTGGGCACAGCTTACATGCTAGAGGCTGTGCATGAACAGCGCAGGAGTGGGGGTTCTCACAGCAGAGCAGGGTAAAGCTGGCTCCCAGAGTCGAAGATTGGCATGACCCAGCAGATCACCGGTCCAGATAACACCAGGGGAATATCAACAATGGGTTTTTTTTGGTTTTGGTATTTAATTATATACAAAAACCATTTAAATTTGGGTCAAGTTAGCCACATGGGTTGGGGGAGGAGGCTTGAAATGGAAGTTAGTTTAAGAAATCATAAGTATATTTCTGTTTCCATCTGTATTGGTGAGAGCAAATGTAAGTGCCTTTACTACAGGTAATCCTCTAGGTAATAAAAATCCTAAAATCTATGTCAATAATGAAGCTCTTGACAATGCGAATCACTTCTGCTATCTTGGCTCAATTTTAACCAGCTCAGTTAGCCTTGATAGGGAAAGTGATGCTAGAATAGGCAAAGCCTCTGTCACCTTTGGCACACTTACCTCATGTATCTGGAACAACAAGCTGCTAACCCTAAACACAAAGATGTCTGTTTATCAGGCTCGTGTTCTTAGTACCCTCCTTTATGGCTGTGAAAGCTGGGTAACATACTCCAAACAGGAGTGGAGATTGAACAGTTTCCACCTTCACTGTCCCAGAAAAATCCTTGGAGTTACTTGGGACCAACAGATCACCAATACTGAGATCCTTGAGATCACCGGCCTACAGTCTATGCTGACTATGCTGGATGCTTGCAGGGTTCCCTGGCTGGAACACATGGAGTGCATGCCTCAAGATCATCTGCTGAAGGCTGTGCTCTATGGCCATGAACTGGTCAAGAACTGCCCATGATGCAGAGGAAGGGTTAGTCTAACCCCCTGCCAAGATGCAGGATTTGTTGTGCCTAAACCATCCAGGACAGATGGCTATCCAGCCTCCTTTTGAAAACTTCCAGTAATGGAGCTTCCGCGACCTCCCGAGGCAGTCTGTTCCATTCTCCTACTGTTCTTACAGTTAGGAAGTTTTTCCTGAGATTCAATCTAAATCTGCTATGCTGTAGTTTGAACCCATTGCCCCTTGTCCTACCCTCTGTGTTAAAAGAGAACAACTTTTCTCCATCTTTTTTAGGGCAGCCTTTCAAGTATTTGAAGACTGCTGTCATATCCCCACTTAATCTCTTTTCCAAACTAAACATACCCAGTTCCTGCAGCCTTTGCTCTTATGGCTTGTGTTTCATCCCTCTGATCATCTTTGTCACTCCCCTCTGGATCCTTCCCAGTTTCTGTACGTCCTTTCTATACAACAGTGACCAAAATTGGACACACTACTCCAGCTGAGGCTTAACCAGTGCTGAGTAGAGCAGTACCATCTGTGAATTGCTTGCTATGCCTCTGTTAATTAAACTAAAATTGCATTTGCTTTTTTTTGCAACAGCAGCACATTGCTGACTCATGTTGAGGTTGTGATCCACCACAACTCCCAGATCTTCTTAGCAGTGCTGCTGCCAAGCCAGTTATCCCCCATTCTGTATTTGTGCATTTGGTTTTTCTTCCCTAAGTGTAACACCTTACGTGTTTCTTTATTGTATTTCATTTCGTTGTCTATAGCCCAGTTATCCAATTAATAAAGATCCCTTTAAATTTTAGGTCTTTCGTCCAAAGTATTGGCGCCCTGCCCCAGCTTTGTGTCATCCGCAAACTTGATCAGTATGCTCTCTATTCCTACATCCAGATCATTAATAAAGATGTTAAACAACACTGGACCCAGAACAGATCCCTGTGGAACCCCAATTGAGGCCACCCTCCAATCTGACATCATTTCATTAATAGTTACTCTTGGTTTGTGGTTGTTTAATCAATTACGTATCCATTTAATGGTAGTTCTATCAAGCCTGCATTCTCCAGCTTACTTATCAGAATGCCATGTGGGACTGTGCAAAAAGCCTTGCTGAAGTCCAGGTATATGATGTCCACCGCATTCCCCCATCCACCAAACCAGTTACCCTGCCAAAGAAGGAAATCAAGCTGGTTCGGCATGATTTGTTCTTAGGGCTTGTCTACACTGGCAATTTACAGTGCTGCAACTTTCTCGCTCAGGGGTGTGAAAAAACACCCCTCTCCCCCCCCCCCCCCAAGCGCAGCAAGTTTCAGCGCTGTAAAGCGCCAGTGTAGACAGTGCCCCAGCACTGGGAGCTACGCCCCTCATGGAGGTTTTTTTTAGAGAGCTCTCCCAGCACTGTGCCACGACCACACAAGGCACGGTAAAGCGCTGCTGCAGGTATTCGCAAATGGGATGTTTTATACATTGCTTTAGTAGCTTCCCAGGTACTGAGGTCAGGTTGTATAGTTCTATAGTTCATTTTCTGGCTCCTCCTTTCCCCACTTTTTAAAGATGGGCACTATGTTAGCTTTCTCCAG